TTTTTTTTTTTTTTTTTTTTTTTTGTACCAGGGATTGAACTCAGGTCTTGGCCCTTGCAAGGCAGGCCACCAAACTGCTGAGCTAAATCCCCAGCCCTTCATTTTCTTTTATATTCTAATTCTTGTCTACTTCTGTAAACATCCTTCTATTCCTCAATAAGTCCTTTGTATCATTTCTCTTTTTTCCTTTTCATATGACTGAGTTTAATGTTTCAAAATTTTCATTTTTTATTCCCATGCTTCCAAACACTATATCTTTAATAGTGTAACTATGAAGTTTGTTAATATTTTGACAGTTAACTCTGTAAAATTACTAAATTCTTTTCTACCATTAGTGAAGATATAGCTGTTGAATTTAGTTCATATTAGCTATCAGTCAATAGATGCATTGTTGTAAGGTTTACACCACAATTGTGGATTTCTTCTTAGGATTAAGGATGATACATAATCAGCTCTTATTGTATGTTAATGACCAATTTTTTTTGGACAGTTCTACTGTAGCTGACTCATATGATAATATCTGGGCCACACAATTGTCACTATTTCTCTGTAAACCAATACTCAGATTATATTTATGACACTGGCAATACTAGAGTAAATTCCTAGAAAGTGTGGTTGTTGGGCTAATTAAACTGCATCCTCCTCTCCCATATTAACCAAGGTTGTCAGATCTTGGGGCTGTGGCAAAGGATTATGGTTAGCCATTCTCAAACTAAATCACTCAAAAGCAACTTCAGATCTCTATTCTGGTAACAAAGTCTTTACACTATAATCATCCACAAACATCATCACAAACCAAAACAATAGAAACATAAAAGTACATGGCAAATAAATGCCTCCCCAAAACTCCCAGTGCTCCTAAAGCCAATTAAGGGGAGAGAGAGGGTCAGAATAGCATAAATCTCACACCTGAATTGCTCAGAAGGATAACAGAGGAAGTTAGAAAACAAATGAAGAAAGTAACTCAGTGGGATCAGATAAGATAATAAGTACACAGATAAGGTAAATAATAACCAAAAAGATGCAGGAACTTCCTGAAGACACTAACAAAAAGATAGATGAACTAAACAAAATGACCCAAAACATCAATGACCAATTTGCAAAAGAATTCGAGTCAATTGAAAGATTCCAGTCAGAAATGAGATTAAAAATTGAAAGTATGGACAACAGAAGAGACCACTGTAAGGACAGATTTTCAGAACTATATCTGCATAGAAGAACCAATGTCTTCAAAGACTGACAATCCAAAGATATCTTAAAAACAAGAGCACATGAAATGTGGATCCAATAGCCACTAGATGATGGAAAAGACTAATCTAATAATAATTGAAAAATCAGAAGAGAACACAAATGGAGTAAAAAAAAAAGTTTTTGCAGAAATAATGGCAGAAACACTTCCCAAATAGAGGGAAAGAAATAAATATATAGATAAATGAAGCATACAGAACCCCAAATAACCATAACCAAAAACGAACTTCTCCACTTCACATTGTACTCAGAGTGTCAAAAGTCCATTACAGGGACAAAATGTTAAAAGCTATTAGAGAAAGGCCAGTCTCTTTAATGAATACAGACGATGAAATGTTCAGTAAGATACTGGCAAACAGAAAGTAGGAAATCATCGAAAAGGTCATACTTCCAATTGAGTAGGATTCATTCCAGAGATGTGGGGATGGTTCAGCATATGCAAACCCAACAAATATATTGTATCACATAAACAGAAGCAAGAACAAAAATCATATGATCAGCTCAGTAGACACAGAAAAGGCATTTGACAAAAGTCAGGATCCAGGGCAAGGGACTTAGCTCAGTGGTGCTGCTGACTGTCTTGCAAGGACAAAGTCCTGAGTTCGATCCCTGGTACCAGAAAACAAAGCAAAGCAAAACAAAACCACAACATCCATTCATAATAAAACCTTGAAGATAATAGGTATAGACGAAGGTCTTTATCTCAATCTGAGAAAAGCCACCTATGACAAACCAATATCCAACATCATACTAAATGGAGAAAGGCTAAAAGAAGGAATGAAACAAGAATGACTGCAATCACCACTCCTAGTCAAGATAATTCTCAAAATATTAGCCAGAGTAGTTACACAAGATAAAACATTAAAAGGGTTATGGAGAGGAAAGGAGGAATTAAGTTAACACTATTTTTGGATGACATGATCTTCTACATTGATGATCTCTCAAACCCACCAAAAGACTCAGAATTAATAAAATGTACTGAATATAAATTCCACACTCAAAAATCAATGGTATTCCTCTATACCAATAACAAAGTCACTGAAAGAAAAATTAGGGAAACAATGCTTTTTATCATAGCATGAAGAAAAATGAAATGCTTAGGTATTAACCTAACCAAAGAAGTGAAAGACCTCTACAATGAAATCTACAGTATTTAGAAAAAGGAGATCGAGGAGAACATAAAAAAAAAAAAAAAATTGGAAAGTCATCCCCTGTTCCTGCATAGGAAGAATGAATATGGTCAAAATGTCAGTACTTCCAAAACTGTTACACAGATTTAACACGATCCCAATCAAAATACCAACATTATCCTTCACAGAATGAGAGAAAGCAATCCTAAAATTCATATGGAACTAGAAGAGACCTAGACGAGCAAAAGCAATTCTTGACAACAAGGGCAAGGCAGAGGGGAATCAAAATCCCAGGCTTAAAGCTACATTTACAAAGCTACAGTGATGAAAACAGCATGATATCGTCAATAAAACAGACTGGTGGACCAATGGAATAGAGTAGAGGATGCAGAAACAACTCCAGGTACACTCAGCTACCTTATCTTTGTCAAAAGAGCCAAATATTTTTGCTGCAGGAGAAATATCTTCTCTAACAAATGGTGCTGAGAAAACTGGCTATCCACGTGCCAAAGAGTGAGGCTACTTCCATATCTCTCACATGCAGTAACCTAAAATCAAAACAGATCAATGATCTACGTGTTAAAACAGAAACATTTAATTTACTAGAAGAAAAAATAGGTAAAAACCCTTGAGGACATTGGTGTAGGCAAAGCCTTTCTGAAACACAATCCCAGTGAGACAAGAAATAATACCAAGAATCAACAAGCGGGATCACGTCAAATTTAAAAATTTCTGTGCAGCAAAGGGAACTTACCAATAAGATGAAGAGATAACATATAGAATGAAAAAAAAAATTTTTTTTTGCCAGCTACACCTTCAGGTAAAAGACTAATATCTAGAATATATAAAGCACTTAAAAAAAATTAGAACCCTCAAATCTAAAGACCTAATCTGAGTACAGGCATTTGAAATGAGTAGACACTTCTAGGGTGAAGAAGTACAAATAGCCAAAAATATATGAAAAGAAATGCTGCACATCACTGGCCATCGGAGAAAGGTAAATTGATGCAACAGGGAGATTGCATTTCATTCCAGAAAGAATGGCTGTCACCAAGAAATCAACCTATAGCGATCGTGAGAAAAGCTGAGGGGGAAAAAGGAACACTTTTCTACCCTGTTTGTGGGAGCATAAACTAGTTCAAAACACTATGCAAATAAGTATTGAGATTCCCTAAAAACAAAAAATAAAATTTCATCTGACCCATTTATTCTCCTTCTAGGTATCTTCCCAAAAGAGTTAAATATCACAGCACAGTGATATACGCATACCCATGTTTATAGCAACATAATTCATATTAGTTAATCTTGGTGGCAACTTATTTGCCCATCAACGGATGAACGAATAAAGAAAATGTGATATTTATATATCACGGAGTACTACTCTGACATGAACAAAGATAATCTTGAGTCACGCGTAGGAAAATGGATGCACCTTGAGACTATAATGTTAAGTGAAATAAAGTAGTCTCACAAGCTTAAGTATTGTATGATTTTTCTTATTTGGGAAACCTTATATCTAAATACAGTAGAAAATTAAAACCAAAAAATAGTCACGAGAGAGAGAGGGAAAAAGGTTACTGTAATCCAGTAAGGACAGTGTTTCTAAAAGTATATCTTGATTTACTATAGTTGTCTTATGTGTTTTATATTTTTTGACCTCTGAGGCTGACCGTTAATTTGTATATATAATAATTAACTTAACAAGGACTTACAGCATAAATAAGTAAATGATCGATGCTAGTAAAAAAATTTAAAGGGTGGGGTGGACCTAAAGGGGAAAAACAGAAAAAATAGAATTGAGATGTGTTATGTACATGTAGCAATCCCAGATGAGGAATATAGTCATTATGTACTGCAAACATTTACTAATAAAAATTATAACTAAAAAAATAAGCAAAATGGCAGAGAAAATGCTTAAAAATTTAGAAGACTGACCGAGGCAATTTTGTGCATCAAGAAACAGGGGCTGTTCATTTGTTTTGTTGAAAGCATTCTTGCAATGTTTATGCCCCATTTAAAATGTGCTGAATTAGTGAGTTTTTCTTGAACCCATGCAAAGACCTAGAAAGTTGAGGCCTAAAAGCATATTCTACCCATCAAAGTAGATTAAGAAACATCTTTTTATGTGGGAGTTTAATAGAGGAGGGAGGATATAAAAAAGTGCTTATAAGGATTGGGTTGGCTGATCCTACTGACTGTTTTCCCTTTCAAGTCTATCCATGGGATGAAGTAAGTCAGGGTGCCTCAAAGGGCTTTTATAAATGTCTCCATTTTAAACAAAACTTGATGACATTCTCAGCATTAGCCTGTGATTAGACCTTGTCCTTTACTGCAGCCCCATGTATAAAAGAATCCATGCAAAGAATCGCAGTGGGGCTTTCCCCCTTAATTTTGCCATTAATTACCTAGTAAAATAGACTTTATCTGATCCAACATTTACCTTTGGACTTTGTATTCCATAATTTTGTAATTACAAATGATCTTTCCATTCTCAATTTAAAAACAGTAATTTTGAACCCAATAGAAATAATAACCACTGACAATTTCTAGACAGCAACATGCCAAAAAGTAAATACAAAAGTAGGAAGATTTAGACTGTTTTGTAATGTACTTGATGGTGGTGAGATGATTAAAACATTAAGACAAGTTTAAGGCTGACTTTTCATCCCAAGAAAAACAAATGTGAAATATTACGGCTTTATCAGCTGAAAAAAAATGTTAAAATTTGACATTAACAAATGCTAATTTGTCTAGCCATTTGTTAAAAGCATCACCATAAATTTCTTCACCTATTGTTTACTTATTTACCAAGAAAGAACTAAAACAGAATATGATGGATTTGGCTATGATCTGTCATTTGCTCAAAGATATTTATCTCTAAAAATGCATGATTTACATGGATGGAGAATCACAGAATAGATCAATAAATTGTGTGAACCCAATAGTCTGGATGCTTATTTCCTGATAAATTGAAGTGAATTATCATAGTAATGGATCACATCGAAGAAGTGGTCAGAAGATGTAAGTCTGAGCAGAATTTTCATAATGCTTAAATTGTAATCTCTGAAATGGTTACATCGTTCAGCAACAAATTTTCTACAAACTCAGATTTGTGTGCTTGCAAAGTCTTTAATTGAAAATTCATTCTTTGATTGGCATATTTTAGAAGATTCTTTAAAAATGCCTTGTATATAATAGTTGGCCCCACTGGAATTTACAATGTTGCCAACTGAATGTCATTTCAAATAAAAACAGCAGACAAAAAAAAAATCAGGATCAGGCAGTGCCTCTTGATTTACAAACTGTAACTCAGCCTAGCACAATGTGTGTAGTTCCTTAAAAAGAACTGAGTTGGAAACATTTAACAAGAAAATTATTCTATCCCTAAATCTGCACTTTAATTAGAAATTGCACGGTCCATTAATTATTAATTAGCCCATTCTCATACCTCCTGTGATCAGTTAGAAGAGACCCCATAGCAGTGTATGAAATGACATTTAATGACTAATCGGATGTGAACTTCCAATGACCAATGAATAGAGGGTGTCATGAACAAAATCTGTGGAAATATTTTACATTGCAACTTCCAATAAGCATTTGGCAGGCCTGGGTTGTGTCCTGAAACTATATAGCTGTCTCCCTGAAAACACCATTGAGCCGCTGGTGAAGAAAAGATGTAACTCAGAATAGATAAGGTGGATGGGTGGGTGAAGTAGCCAGTAGGCAGATGGGTGGGCAGAGAGAACACCATGCATGCTGTACAGGATTTCTAGCTGTGGGCAGAGTCTAGCTTTGTAAATGGCACATTAAACAATGAGTTTATTGTAAAGTGGGTCTGATCCCCGGAGATAGACAAAAATGATTCGTTTTCACAGTGATGTTTACTCTTTCCACCATTTTCCAGCAGAGAAGGTACTCGGTTTACAGTGATCAGTTGCCCTAGTTGGTTGAAGGAACAGTATTCATTCACGTTGCATTGTCTCTGTAGCAGAATGAAAGGATCCTCTTGTATTGCGTCTCTCCCTACACTCCCTGTCTCCCTTCTTGCACAGGTAGAATATCTAGAAAACATATTCTAAAATTTAGCAAACCATCACAGGGGCTGCTGTTACACCTCTCTCTCTCTCTCTCTCTTTCTCTCTCTCTCTCTCTCTCTCTCTCTCTCTCTCTCTCTCTCTTTCATACAAAGTAAGAAAAGGTAATTTTGATCTTGAATTTTTAAAGTGTACTTCTAGACTTAAGCTGGGAAATGCATCGGCCTGTAAGTGGATTCTGAAACTGGTAAAAATGATATATGTGTTCTATTTTGGTCTTTTAAGGGCTGAATTTGGAGAGAGAAAAATTATTTTGCATAGCAGTGACTGTGAACACATCAGAGAAACTCTGAGTAACTGGAGAAAAGGGTCCAATTGTATTGTGTATTCTCCCTTTAAGAGGGAAACAAGATTAGCAACTTTGGCAAATTTTTGAATTCTATTCAGAAAAGAAGAGAAGAGATGCCAGTGTCCAAAAAGAAAAAAAACTAAAAAGGATGAATGTATTAGACAAAGGCAGAAGCAACTTTACACCTTACTGAAAGCATACCTGGGAGTGGTTTTAACTCCTCTGGGGTTAAGGAATACTTTCTATTTCCAATCACAACTAAGGGTGGAGTTAGGGAAAAAGAAATTTCATCAGAAGTACATGCCCATTCCCAGTTTTGTTCTTTCCTGGGAAGTATGCAAGGAAGAAAACCTGTGTAGAAGACAGAAGAAGCAACAGGTGCCACAGGTAAGGAATTATTTATTTTAGGAACCAATATGTAAGTTCCACTATGAACAAAGATAGAGATTCTTTATTGGAAAATCGTTTGATGTTGATAATCTGAGAGCTCATGGAGCTGTTAGACAAATACCTGAACTATGTTTTGCCTTTGTATACTATGGATTTATTTGGTTTCCAGGTGCTCGCTCTCATGCAAAAAAGCATCTGTAAAAATGAAGCAAATGTTTTCTATGTCCGGTCCAAAGAAAAAAAAGTGAGGAGACAGCATTTGTGATAGTTACAGTTTTTACTCAAGCCCTGTGCATATAAAAAATGTTATTTTCTCTAATTGCATAGTTTGTTCCTGCCATGACTGGGTTGAATTCTAAACAGACGAGGAATCAATACTGAACGTCTCTGTGGTTCAAAAGAAGTCTTAGCTATTTTACGCAGCATAAAATTGCTCTAAATTTGGTAAGCTGCTACAAAAAGAGATTGAAAGCTAAAGTGTATTACATTTTCTTTCTTCTTATTTTTAGGTTTTAACTGAAAACTCAAATTAACAAATAATACCCCACCTAGGGTTATTACTACTACAAAACTCTCCTGAATGCCCTAAGAGCGTCAGTAAGAATGAGCTATTACAGCACCAGCTATCGGATTGTGAATGTGGATTCCAAATATCCGGGCTGTCCGCCAGAACACAATGTAGCTGAGAAGAGAAGAGCAAGGAGACGTCTGCTTCACAAAGACGGCAGCTGCAATGTATACTTCAAGCACATTTTTGGAGAATGGGGGAGCTACGTGGTTGACATTTTCACCACGCTTGTGGACACCAAATGGCGCCACATGTTCGTGATATTTTCTTTGTCTTACATTCTCTCCTGGCTGATTTTTGGCTCCGTCTTTTGGCTCATCGCCTTTCATCACGGAGACCTGTTAAATGACCCAGATGTCACACCCTGTGTGGACAACGTGCACTCTTTCACAGGAGCATTTCTGTTCTCCCTCGAGACCCAGACCACCATCGGGTACGGCTACCGTTGCGTCACGGAAGAGTGCTCCATGGCAGTGCTCATGGTGATCCTTCAGTCCATCCTCAGTTGCATCATAAACACCTTCATCATCGGAGCAGCCTTGGCTAAAATGGCAACTGCACGGAAGAGAGCCCAGACTATTCGTTTTAGCTACTTCGCACTCATAGGCATGAGAGATGGAAAGCTGTGTCTCATGTGGCGCATCGGCGACTTCCGACCAAACCACGTAATAGAAGGAACAGTTAGAGCTCAGCTTCTTCGCTACACGGAAGACAGCGAAGGGCGGATGACCATGGCGTTTAAAGACCTCAAATTAGTCAATGACCAGATCATTTTGGTGACACCAGTCACTATCGTTCATGAGATTGACCACGAGAGTCCTCTGTATGCCCTTGACCGAAAAGCGGTGGCCAAAGATAACTTTGAGATTTTGGTAACGTTTATCTATACCGGCGATTCTACCGGGACCTCTCACCAGTCGAGAAGTTCCTATGTCCCCCGGGAGATCCTCTGGGGCCACAGGTTTAACGATGTCTTGGAAGTGAAGAGGAAGCATTACAAAGTTAACTGCTTACAGTTTGAGGGGAGCGTGGAAGTGTATGCCCCCTTTTGCAGTGCCAAACAGTTGGACTGGAAAGACCAGCAGCTCCACAATATGGAGAAAACATCCCCAGTGCGAGGGTCCTACACATCAGACACCACTGTCAGGCGAAGGTCGTTTAGCGCAGTCGCCATCGTCAGTAGCTGTGAAAACCCCGCCGAGAAGGTCACTTCTGTCACAGACGAGTGTAAGGATCCACCTTATCAGAAAGCTTTCCTGACTTTAAATAGAATTTCTATGGAATCCCAGATGTAATCCCAGATCAAGGAGGGCGACCACTTGATCGATTTACCTTCTGGCCAATCATCGTAAGGCAAGTAGTTGACATGATGCCCTTTAAAAGTAATATGCCTATGTTGTATGATGAGAGCAGTAAGTAAAGTAGGATAAACTGGGTGAAGGATAATCTAAATTTTCCACATTTTTTTATCCTTAAATTTTTTTGCTGGCAAATTTTGTGTTAGGAATGCTATGAAGAGGTCTAATTGGTTAAACTTCATCCTTTATTAGTTTATATACTGGTGTCTCCAATTAGAAATGTGATATTCAGTAAGGAGCAGTAAAGGCAAGATGCTGGGACTTAAGAAAATAGGAAAACTGGTAAGCTAGGATAAATTACAAGTTTTAAAGTCTATAAAAATTGAAAAATAGCCATACAGCATCTAACCAAGACGTGCAAGGCACACATTCATCACTGTAACATCGAGAGACACAACTGTAATATCAGTTGGTTTTCAGAGTACCTCTATTTGCCTCTTCATGTTGCTTATTAACAAGCAGAGGTAGTGGTTGTAAAATTGATAATCCCACCAATTCAGAGAATTCTTCCACTGGCACTTGTTTTGGTGATGATGAATAGTCAGTCAGTGCTACAAGCATTTCTTTTGGCTAAATCATGGCAGAAGAAAAATGGACGTCATTATTTACTGCAATTTTTCCCTCTTCGATATCTTCCTTGACTTCAAACAAATGGGGAACAGAAATAAGGTCATGACCTTTCTGAATTCCTGGGTCAACCCCCCATGTTTCTGAGGGACATGGTAAAAAGACAGGTTCACACAGGTGGGGTGAGGCTGGAAACATCTTCAGCCCACTGAAGAAGGAGTGTTGTTTGCCTTTGTCCTGAAAGATTGCGATGCTGTTTGCTATACAAGGGTTGGAGCACGCTACTTGAGAGTGGTTGGGGAAGGAGGAGGGAATTATCAACGCTCACAAGCAGTTATTTACGCCTCCTTTCTTTGTCACCTTAGGTAGACATGAATGACTTGAACTGTAGATTTTACGAAACTTGTTGAACTTGGAGCAATTGGATTGTTTTGTGAAATACGATACAACTAAGGTGATTAAATGACTACCTTGAATGCTGTGAGTGTGCTTAATTGTGGGACATGAGATGAATGTTTATTCTCTATTTCCAGGTTACAAGATGTTCAGTCACGATTAAGCACAAACCCAATCACATCCGAGTGGAGAGTCACTTTAAGCTTTGTAAACTGAAGAGTTATTAGCTAGATCTGGAATTTTTTAAAAATTAATTTTATTGATACATTTAAGGCATACAATATAAGGACCTTCACCGTTGGAAATTTGTACCTTTACATAGTCAATTGGTTCTTAATTTTTTCCCCATCCCCCTGCCCTCTCTTCAGCCACACCCTCCCTCCCTAGCTGCAAAGACTTTATTTCCATTTTTTTTCACTTTCCCATATTAATTCCATCCCCTTCTTTTCTTTCCGCTTCCCCTTTGAGGTGATACTCTCAAGTGAAATAAATAGGACGCTCATGAGTACATACTGAATAGTTTCTCTGGTGTGAGAAATTGAAAGCACAAATAGGACTCAAAGGTATAATAAAGTGAAATAGGAAGAAAAAGGACAGATTTGGAATTTGTGTGTGCTTTTCTGTTGTTGCTGAGCTGACAATAAATTTATGTTGCAGTCTTTGTTCGCTTATTTTATTTAAAACACACACACTCTAATTTCTGCTCTTTTGGAAAACCAGAACCCCCCTCGTCTTCCCCAACAGAACCACACAAATAAATTGAACAAAATGTTCTCATGCAAGATCACCAAGTAGAGTAAAACATCTCAGTATGTAAATTGCTTTTCTTTCTTTTCATTTTCTTCTTCTCTTCTCCCTTCCTTCATCTTCTTGTCTTTTCCCTATATCTTTTACCTGAGAGCTATATGGTTAATTTTTAATGGAACATGTGCAAGTCTCTCATTTCTATTGCTTTATGAATAAGAAATTTCCTCAGGTCATAGGTTACAAAATTGTCCTGAACCTTAATTGTAGAATATAATAATGCCCTTTTTTCTGCTTTGCTTCAATAATGTAAATTCCATTTTTAAATTACACATTGTAGTTTTAAACTTTGTAGCAGCAACCACTTGGCAAAATTAAAGCATTACAATCTCTAGTATCAAAAACAATCACCAGCACAACAATTAAAAAGGTTTTATCAGGCCGGGGATTGAGGTCAGTGGTTCCACTGCCTGCCTTGCCAGCGCAGGGACCCAAGTTTGATCCCCGGTACCAAAAAAAAAAAAAAGGTTTTTTAATCTCTCTTTGTAGTCTGTTCAACTCATGTTAGTTTACCTTCACCGTGCTTTGCCTCCTGGCCTGGGTCTATCCATGGTATTTGTCCCGACAGCATTAGAAAGTAGGCACTCATAGTGAATTAAATGCATCCTGTGGAGCTAAGACCCTCCACAAGCAGACTCCCGTATATGGAACGGAGTGTAAAATTAGCATTCACATCTTTAAATTTCTGGTATAAATTTATAACATACCTTGAAGCCCTCAGTTAGGTACTTCATAATAAAGATCTTGAAATAATCCAAAAGTGTGTGCCTATACTTTTTTATGCGCCGTAGTATAAGTTGTATTAGCTAAGAAGAACTTTGCCTCATGTATCTAGAATATAGGCAGCACTGTAAACCATGTTTCTGGGTTTTAACAGCTTGTAGAACAGCTACACTCGAAATAACAATTAGTTGCTTCTGTAAGCATTGCAGAAAGGCTATGTGCCTAAAGACATTTCTAGGTCTAAGTGATCCATCCACGATGAGACGTTGTAGAATATTTTTTTCTCTTATGCCGTCATCTGTTTTCTTCCTGGATATGAAATACTTCACTGGAGTCCATTAGATGCATATAAATGGTGGCAGGAAGGGCCTTGCTCCACAGCATGCTGTGGGCTGTGGACAGAGCTCTGGGGAACTGAATGAGCCGGCAGGGAAGGAAACACTTTTCCCTGCAACACCGAGTCACCGAGCACTAGCATGTGCTTGGCACAGATGCATTTTGTCTCCACAACGGAACAGTGAGGTGCAGACTTCAAATTTCTTTTTCATCAAATATCCAGCTCTTTTTAACAGATTCCTGAGATGGCAGTGTGCTCCAGGCATAAAAATGAAAATTTCACCGAAGCTCCCCATTGCCCCTGTGACGGTGGGTGTGCGGTGGTGCAGTGGCATTGTTCTGACTAGCGCAGTGTCACCAGAGACCTCTGCGCTGGGCTTTGTAAAAGCTCTTTGATAGGGCTGAGTTAGCTGGTACAAATCTATTGCTGTCTGCTTGTGTTCCCTCTCCTCTGGACCTGAGATTTGACAGCTGGTGTGAGAGCTGGACATCGGGGACAATTCCTGTAAGGGGAAATGGAAAGACAGGAGAAACTGCACCTCTGGGTTGTGCACTCTCCAGACTCCTGTGTGAGCAAAAATGAATGTGGCCTCAAAATGACCCTGTGAACGACACGTCAGAGGCGATTGCCTGGAAAACAAAGCTGGCAAGGAAAAGAAAAATGATGTACACTTTAACTGCAACTTGCACATGAAATTTGGTGGGCTTGGTCACTATGGAAACAACCTATTTTTCTGGGGAGTTGAGAAAATGCCACTTTTATTGTAAAATAAACACAAAGGAATTGCTTTGGGTCTAGAAATCCCTCCAGGCGCTGGTGGCTGGGAGGCCTTGATTAAAGGATTGATCAGGCCTGCTGTGGGCTGCCCCTTATCTTCCTTCCTTCTCCACAGAAGAATTGCAGGTATTCATTGCTTTAAAGGGACTTTCTCTAGGGTTAATGATCTGAAATCAAAGCAGGCTGCAGGTAAAGAAAGCCTGGAAAGGCTTGGGGAATAAAAACAAAAACAAAAACAATGGATCTCTGCTCATGCCGTCTCAGGAGACGCCAGCCAGATCAGAGTATATCAGTTTAGATCATTTGAGAGGACCTTAGAATCACACCAGGAGCTCAGAACCTTACTTACTATTAATATTCATATTTTTCACTTTTGAGTTGGCGGCTAAGGTAAGATTCACCTGAAGAGTTCTAGAACCATATCTATCCCACAGTCTTCTGAATTACAAAACCTTGTCTTCCCTCCAAAATCAGCATGGCTGCTTTCTCCCTCTCATTTTAGTTTTTAAGGGAGCTGCATGACCAATGCTTAGGAAAACAGAGCTCAATCACCCTACCCAAAATGCAAGGGTGGGGTCACCTGGAGTACACAAACAGATTCCAGAGCAGAGAAGAAATTGGAAAATTCTCATATTCTCCTGGCTATGAGGTTTATAGAAACAAAATCTAGTACCTGAGAGTCACCAGGTCACTTTGGATAAATCTTTGTGCAGAGAGTAAGCAAGGCTCCAAGCAAGGACATTTTCCTTTTTTTTTTTTTTTTTTTTTTTTTTTTTTTTTTTTAATACTGGGAGGCAGGCAGAGGCACCACTGAGCTAAATACCCAGCAGGGCATTTCCCTAAAAAGACACATTTATAGTGTGGCTGAGAAGCCACTGTTAGGCTGCATTGCTTCGGAACTCTTGGAAGAAAATTCCGAACTTCCCAACTGCTCCTTTCACTCCTTTTCGTTCACTAAAGCAGCTTCATAGAGCCCTCTCTAGGACTCTGATTTGATCTTAAGATTACCCTCCAGGGCCAGCTGCCTTTGGCCTCATGATGCTGGCCCAGGGGCCTTTCTTTGAGAATGTCCATGCCTGCATTTTGCAGCCATCAGGCAGCGTTCAGAGGCTTGGTTTAACACAATCAAGATTCAATATCCTTGGACTTGATCACAACCTTTGAATGTCTTCTGTACAGTCTCAGTGGTCGGGTAGCTAGCAAGGAAAATAAAGACACATGCATAAATTTGAAACAAAAACCTACTGTCTTTTGCTGTTTGGTCTCACTGATTTATGAATACTCTAAAGTAAAAGGATATCGCGTGAAGAGTCTATCCATCACCATCAGGCTGGATGGAGCTTGATAGTCTTCTAAATAAATAAGGCAATCCGCACCTTTCACCACTTCTCAGAGGCTGTGGATGGAAACTATGGAGACCCCTCAGGCTCAGAAATGGGTTAATTATTTTAAATATTTCAGCATGCCCGATGGATGAAAAACCAAGTTGTCTTGCTAAATTACACAGTCAAAGAATGCTTTTTTTCTCTCTCTCTGCTGCTATTATTTACCTCCTAAATAATGTGAACTTGAAGCAGTCTCAGCAGATTGGGTTACTGCAAAAATGTCTTTGCAGAACATTATCAGAAACCTTCAAATTTTCACATCAAATACTTTAATCACATGCAACATCCACGGTGGTTAAGTGCCGTATATTTTAATTAGAGCCACATGTTGGAGATCGATAATTTATTGTGATGTTTCTTGATTTTTCTGACATCAGTTTGCCTAGGGAAGGGGCACTAGCCATGGGGGGACTGGGTTAAGGACAGAGGTAGTCCCTGTCAGCAGTTCACTCCAGTGCCATTGGCTCATTTCGCAGATTCCATGGCACAGAGAAGGCAATCTCTGAGTCAGCCAACTCAATCAGCTCAAAAAAGACAGGGACGTGAAAAGACTGGAGAGAAAGGAGGCACAAGGACCAAAGACCAACTCAGGTCTCTGAAGAGATGTGTCAGCAGTCGTGGTGCTGCCGGAGGTTGAGATGTTGCTTTCTAATCAGTACACCGAAAATGCGATTATGGAAGAGTCTTTGTAAAATGTAGGCTTGACATTTCCTACAAGCGCTGCCAGACTGTTCGCTGGTCACTAGGTATTGAGAAAATTTTGGCAAGGAGAATATATGTGGGAAATGGCCATTAAGAGCCATGAGGAGTGAGATAATCTTCAAGATGTAGACAAGCAAAATTGATTGAGGTAAGAAAAAAAGTGGGGGACTCATCCCTACTTGGGGAAAATGTTAATGCACAGTGAGCACATCTTATCCCTGCTCTCCTGTTACCCAGCTTTCATTTTGGGAGCAGGAACAGTTAGTCCTCTGGCAAGGTTTCCCTTAGAAAACAAGTGAATGCAACGAGCCACTGCTTCTTCTTTTTTTTTTTTTTTTTTTTTACTCTATCAAATGAATGTAGTTCTTTCTTAAGACCGAGGCCTGTAATGAAAGAAGCCTTAGCCTAAGAGAATCACAGATCTGGACTGGCAGTAAGGACTTGTCTTATTTACTGTGCAACCCGGAGCAATTTAGCTGGTATCTCTGACATTTTGTTCCTTCATTTGTGGCTGCTCTTGCTGTAGTAAACTACAACTAAGACTACAGGCTTAAGAACCAACTGCCTAGTCTTGAATACGATTCTATCTACAATTTCCTGGCTCTGGATTTTGAGTAATTTGCTTAACCACTTTGTGCCCAAGTTTCCTAAACTAACATAAGAAAAGTAATAGTAGCCACCTTACAGTTGTTGTGAAGATTGAGGAAATATTCATAAAGAGCTTAAAA